AAACGTAAACAAAAATAGGGAGTCTCGTTTGTTTACATTAAAAAAATTGTTTGTTTATTTTGTAAACATCCCCATTGTCCGGTATAGGTTTTTCATTGTTCAAATGATGTAACATAACAAAGGAAAAAAATGGAATTCTTTTCTCCCGTATAGTACGGATGTAACTACTCACGTAACCGATAACATTAATGAAAACAACCGTCCGCCATGCGCCGCGCGCCGATTAAAAGCAATTTTTAAAACTTCAGAATACATGTGTTAACGACACGTTTGGATACATTCATCCAGTCTTCTGAGTCCATTTAGATAATTCAGGACCAGCTGTACAACAGAACTACCCATTAATGCCAATACAATTATTGTGCCTTTATTACCTGCGCCTAATGATAATAGCATATCACTGATATCACGCCGCAAAAACTCTTTATATGGATCTGAAAAGATTGGAAAGAACGTTGAGGAATATTTTTTCTTTTTGTGCGTGGCTCATCATTTGATTTCAAAGTGACAAAATTGCTAGAAAAGTTAAAATATGTCTATTTTGGTCTTTCGGTGATTATTTCATTTTGTTTATTGGTAAAATAGGGAATGCAACAGTTGTTGGCATATTGATGTTTTTGTGAGTATTTTTGTCTATACATGTACCTTCCAGATTATATAATGATACATAAAAACAAACACATCAACACTTTTCAATCTGACAGTAAAAAAACGTGCCGCATTGAAAGCCATTAGCAGACATGAATATTGCATTAATGCATTCTTACGTAATACAGAAATCATTTGTCTATTTTCTTCCACAGTTCGTCGCCCACCCAAACTGCCAGCAGTACCTGACCGCTTTGTTCTACGGATCTGAGCTGAGTTTCCTCAAGACCACTAGATGGCCTCTGAAATTGTGTTACATGCTTCTGGTCACCCCTCTGGTCCCTTTGATATCCATAACCTATATACTGTTTCCCAAGTCTCGGGTGAGTTCTTAATGGTTTGCAGTCGATGAATTATTCGGGTGATGCGGAATATAAATAGAGCGTATATATATTGGCTCCGTCTGAATACAGTCTACTGGGAGGACACAAGGAGCATTAACTTGTGCGAATATGCATTAATTGCACATTACATTTTGATATAATTACAGTTGAACAACTACTTAGACACCGTGACTTAATAACACTGTGATCAGATTACTGACAGGGGCTTTTTAATTCATAATGCGAAAATATATTCATAGATACATTATAAAAAGAGCAAATTGTGCATGGTTTTCTTTTTTATTCTCATGCAGAATAGATACACGAACATGAGACTATTTGATGCGTTATAGGGATAACAACTCTTCATATGAAATCTATGACCCCATTCCCAGAGATTAGATCGATCCAACTAGATCGACCTAACTCCCTGGGGGTTCACGCTAAATAGCTGTCAGCCGAGCGCGCGCAGTAGTTAATTACCCTCTTACAGCTTTTAGTAGGCGGGACTGACATTTAAGCCGGATTATCTGACAGTAATCTAGTGAGACTCCCCACGGGGATAGATCGATCTAAAATCTATGGGAATGCGCCCTATATTTCAAAATAAAAACATTGTAAACAACTAAAAATATATATATAATACATTCTATTTTACCACAAATCAGCATTTAAAGCAATTATTCTGAAATTTGTGTTTGTCATAGGACCATGTGACCTCCATAGATGAGGCTATACTCTGTAACTATCTTTAAGAGATTATTACAAAAAAAAACTTTTTAGACTAACTTAGAGTTGAATTCATTAACCATTGGGAAGTATGGGAAAATTATTGTTTTCCCTGGTAAAATTCATTTTTTTAATCAAAATGAACAGTTGTTATCCCTTTAAATATGTAATCAATTTTCCATTGAGTTTAGTTAGTGCAAAAGCATATTCTTTTACAGGTGGCACGCTATGTAAGGTGTCCTTCCACCAAGTTTCTACTCCACACTATTTCGCATTTGGTGTTCCTCATACTTCTGGCCCAGGCAACGTTCCAAACGTCGGAGATATTCAATGAAGATATTAATGTTAATATCGATAATGTCAAATGGAAATCTTCATTTCGAGGCGAAAGCAGCATCATGACTCCCGTGCAGATAGTGCTCATGGGTTGGGTCTTAGGTGAGGACTATGAAACTTTTCTCGAACGTCAACGCAAGCACACACACACACACACACACACACACAGAGAGAGAGAGAGAGAGAGAGAGAGAGAGAAATGTCATTTTCATGATTAAGGCATACCATATTCATGTTTTATGTGGCGCCATGTTTTTGATGCCCCAAGTACTACCTTGAATTCAGACAATATTTACTTAAATGTCAAATAACCATCATATACATTTGTCATAAGTGGAGGTATTGCATCCAAAGTAATCGTTTCAGGTTTATTGTGGATTGAAGTCAAGGAAATCTACCGAACACCGTTTTGTGATTATGCCAAAGATTATTACAATTACATCATCTTTATGAGTCTGTCTTTGTATATCGGCTCTTATGTCTTACGGATATTGGCGATGAGGTGGATTCTCGCTGCCAAACAAGAATATAGTGTCCCTCTCCGGAGTGCCAAGTTGGCTTTGGAAGCAGGGAACGGGGACGAATTCCATCGAATTGCGGCACAGATAAAAGAGGCTGGGACGAGAGAAAGTTATTTCATGGAAGCGTGTAAGTGTCCCGGGATTATTTTGATTTTATTATGATAACATTCTTTTACATACATCTGTTGGGCTAACATAACCTTTTTTCTTTGAAAACGCTTTCATTCTATTTTATCGTTGATTGAGTTAAAGAGGCGAGATTTTACATTTACCATTCCGAACAGCCGACCAGCTATGATGAAATGCGACTGCAACAGGATACATAAATACATGAATACCTCGGTACTTGACTGAATCCAGGCTCAGACATAAGAAATAAGAAATAATGTTCTGTTTTAGCTCGTTTTCACTGGAAAATGGACGACCCGGAGATTGTGGCAGACGCCATGTTTTCTGTGGCTAATGTGCTTAGCTTTGCTAGGACCACTTATATAATGCCAGCGTTTGAAGTTTTGGGACCTCTGCAGATATCACTGGGGCGTATGGTTGGAGATATAACCCGGTTTCTGGCTTTATATTTGCTGGTAAAGTAGATTCCAAGAAAAGTATTACAGGAATGTAACCAAGACCATTTTTTTAAGTTCCCTTTTTTTTCGCAAAACTATATGTAGATGTACTGATTACGACAAAATGACCATTTCAAACATTTTTGTTTTATGTAGGCGCTATTTAAGTCCGATATGTTAACGTTGACTTAGTTCTAGAGCATGTTCAGTATTTAGTTTGGCATATATTCATGTTCGTTACTTTCACTGTTCCATTCAGGTATTACTTGCCTTTACGGTCGGTTTGAATAATCTCTACTGGTACTATGGCCAAGTAAAAGCCACTGATGCCTTCACTGAGTACGTATGTTGTTACATTCGATAATTTGTTTTAGAATTTTCTATAGGTAATGTAAAAGTGATTTGGCAAGTTTGGTATTTGCATTATGGTCGATCAATCCGTGCCCCGGCCGTTTGTGTGTCATTCCTCATCCTTTAGAGCCTCTGCTGTGTATTTTGCGTTTTTTAACAAAATAATTTCTGTTTGAATGTTCCATACGTTGTAGGTTTAAAACAAAGCCGATCCATACTTGCGTTACTTATAACAATAGGTATTCATTGTTAATAATATTCTGTTTTCAATATCAGTAGTATGTTCATCATATCTTTTTTACGTAGATAATGTATAGGGCCTACCCTGTGAAATTTTTTACCTTGGTTATATTTGCAAATGGCAAATGAACCTTTATATTAAACGAATCATTCGGCGTTAACTACGTCATTTTCGCTTTTTATATTGTTTTAGTTTAATGGTAACGGTGCAGACTTTGTTTTGGTCAACGTTTGGTCCGAGTAAATCAGCACCTGAGGTCTCCAAATTGTCGAAACCAAAAGGTGAGAAATAATAGATTTGTTATTTGATAGCTGTATATGTAGAGAGATTGGTTTTGGAGGTGAAGCCTGTCCATATGTTGGTTTATCCTGTACAAAATCTTATATACTACAGTCCCCTCAGTTTTTTTATGGTTCCAAGCATGAAAACTACATGTATAACATGTAGGGGTGCATATCTCTTTTTATTTGTAAGATTAAAATAGTTTTTGATAATATATTGTTACATATGCCTATGAGATTTTTTCGACTCACTCATTTTGTGTCATAATGAGCAATGAAGACAAATCTTCACTTTATTGTGGTAAAATTGAATTATTCAGTGTCATCTAAAATCTTGATCATTTGTCATACATTTAAATCAGGCGGGAAATCCACGTCTAATAATCATATATATATATATATTGTTACATCCCAGGTTGCACCGAGGGAGGGGAAGGTGGGGCTGGGTGCCAGTTTTATGGGAATACCACCACGGATGCAATGGTTGAGTCAAGCACAACCCTCATCAACTTTGTCGGTGCCACATTGTACTCTGTCTTTTGCGTCTTCGCCATTATCATCCTTGTGAACATGCTGATAGCCATGATGAGCCACTCTTTTGAAGCCATTCAAGTAAGGATTTCTGACTATGTCTGTCTTGTTCTCTTCTTGTTTAAAGACGTGGAATGATATTTTGCATGAAATGGTTAAATACATGTATGAAAGCAAATAAAGCTTGTTGGATGAGGTGACTGGTTTCAACATTGGCAGATTTTTGTCTAGTAACATAAATTATTTTAAAAGTAACGCGGGTTGGTCTTAAAATTTGGGCGTCTCTCCGAAAGTCACAATGTAGAGATGCTGCATTTTTTCTTTGAAAAGCGTTCTATATTTCACATAGGAAGCCTGTGATGTGGAGTGGAAGTTTGCCAGAAGCAAGTTGTGGTTATCCTATATTGCGGACGGCAGTAATTTATCAGCTCCTTTTAATTTACTACCAACGCCCTCATGTGCTTACCAGAGCTGCAAGTACGTGAAGAAAACGTTCATGGATGGACGACGTGACAGCATCACACTTTTCCGGGCGCAGACCGTCGTACGGGTAAGATCGATCCAGAAAAGCAGACGTCTGTCAGCACTCTTGTGCCTATAATTCTCAGACTATTATGTGTGTGTGTGCGTGCGTGCGTGGGTGGGTGTGTGCGTGTCGAGCCGAAAAAAGATGTGCCTTTACAAAAACAATGCCTTTAAAATACAAGCGTCTATATAGTTTATTATTTTGCTCAATACGTTGCATTAATTTTTCTAACAGCCATTCCGCTGTTTTCTGTTATCTACAAATATCTATTAACTACACCATTATTCTGCTCAACATTTTGCTGTTTTCTGTTTCGTACTAATACCTATATGCTGTGACATTATTTTGCTCAACCCCATTCATTTTTTCGTGTTTTTCTATAGGCTCGGAGACAGGCCGTGTGTGAGAAGCTTCACGTGGACACGGTGGACACCAGCTATGCTGACATTGCACACAGCTTGGCCAACAGGTATCTCCTCAAGCTGGGAAGACAAGCCAGGCCAGAAACTAAAGGTGATTAATTTGATTTCATAGTAATTTTCTTACTCATAAATCCCTCGCTGTATCTGCTGTAGCTGTTTATAAACAGATACAGTTATTTCCTAGGTAAAGGGTACTGTCAAGGTTAGAAAAAAACTTCTAAATTGTTCTTTTTACGTACATGTTTTGGATAATAGATGGATCTTCAGTGTTCCATGACTGACTTCGATTGCATTTACAAAATTTCATTTTACCGATGACACAGTAATTGCAATTTTTGAGATAAAAATTGCAAAGTCGGTTTCTCAAAATTCTATACATGAGCACCCCCCGAACACCTTTTAAATGTCAATTTAATGATATCATTGAGTACTCTAAAACCCCGCTAGCGATTACTTTAGATTTCATTGTTAAAAAGTCAAAATAATGCCTTTGTTAAATGAATCGTTATAATTAAGGACTTATAAATCTATGTAAGAAAATAAAATTTCAACCAAAATGACGGCACGTTATTGAAGCCCATACACTTGTAGTCAATTATGCCCATTTTTGTGATAAAATCTTGCTCGAGCATGAAGTTACGCTCCATAACGTTTGCTATCTCACCTAACACCCCATTTCCATAGATTTTTAGATCGATCTATCCCTGTGGGGAGTCTCACTAGATTACTGTCAGCTTGGCCGGCTTAAGCGTCTGTCCCGCCTACTAAAAGCTGTAAAGGGGTAATTAACTATGGTGCCCGCTCGGCTGACTGCAATTTAGCGTGAACCCCCAGGGAGTTAGGTCGATCTAAATCTTAATCTTTAGATCGATCTAAATCTCTGGGAAAGCACCCTAAGAGTCGAAAGCTGTTAAATTGACTATAAATGCTCCAAGGTGCTTATGCTTATATTAGCTACGAGAAATATGAATGCCAATATTTTTTAATTTCGAGATAATTCTTATCATTTTTAATCAAGAAAATGGTAGATGCACCTTCGTATAATAAGTTGCACGAAAAACTCATTTGCGGTATTTTGATGATCATAAACTCCTCTGACAGTAACCTTAACTCGTGGATACTTGACCAGAATTTTTTTTTTTTTTTTTTTGTTAGTAAACGATTGACTTATCAGGTACAAGTGTAACAGTTATATCGATCTGTATATTAAAACGCAGCATTATTCCATTTATACTAGCATTTAAGCGCTACCGATGATCGCCTGACGTAAGATTATATTTAATTTACTTTGAGCCCAGGATTCTAGCTGTCATATATTTGTTTCTCTCTCTCTCTCCAAATAAGGTGAAAGTCATGTCATCCTCGAAACGTCACCCCCGCCCTCGCCAAGTGGCACGCCTACTATATTCGAAGGCAAGGAAGAGCTCAACGTGGCAGACCTCAAAGGCGGACCAACTCTGCCGCAATTCCATTTGGAACATGTTGATGAAGGCACGTATTTGGAAATGAGACAAATAAGCGCTTTTTGAAGACATAGGGTGGATTTTTATTTTCAAAACAAAGAGAGTTCTGAACTTAAAAGTTTTTTATCTTAAATTTAGGATTTACGGTGCTCGTAAGAAATGTTTTAATGCCAATCTGATATATTTTGAAGGTTTTCATTCAGTCTACTCTGCCATTACTACGTGGTCAAGAACTGTTGGTGCTATCAAGATGCTCTTATTTATTAACCAAACAGAAATTTACCGGCAACAAACATTTCCATTTTCCTGGTGTAAATGTCATTTTTCAAATTTAACGTTTCTTAATTTTGACATTAACAATTAATACTTTAACAATTGCACTTTTAAAACAATTTACTTGCAGAGGGTGAAGTGCTGAAGCCGACCATTTGTCGTCCTTTGTTCACGCCGATGTTGAGGCGTAGCAACCCAGAGATGATGGCAGAAGAGCAGGGTCGAAGAAGCTTCTCCCGTAAGAGCAAACGCTCAGTGCGAGTCCACTCTCCCCTGACACCGACATCGTCAGAAGGTACTTCCGGTCGCATTGAGGAGATGTACCGCGTGGTGAAACTACTGGACATGCGCTTCCAGCACCTCCAAGAAAACACCAGCCAAATCCAAAATCTTGTAAAAGATTTGGCCGCAGTGAAAGCTGATTTGGAGAAAACAAGAAGCTTGCTTGAAACTCAGCGAAGGCTCACCGTCAACACCAGTGGGACACCGAGATCTTTTGAGACAATATCTACCTTAAATATTCTACCCAGCTTCGTGGCAGAAACCGAGGTCCGTACAAAGCCTTTATCGCCACGACTGGGGTACATTAAAAAATCGGTTAAGTTTAAAAAACAAAAGAGTGATCAATCTGGACAAAATTAATGTCAAATTCAATATTCAAATATTGAATCGGTCTCCTAGGGACCATTCCCATAGATATTTGGATAGATCTATCTCCCTGGGGGGTCTCACTTAATTGCTATCAAACTAACCGGCTTAAACGTCTGTCACGCCTAGTAAAACTGTAAGGGGTAATTATCTTTACCCCTAGCTGATTCGGTAGGCGTAGCAGACAGTTAGGCCTTTTCTTGCTGATTTGCAATTTAGTGTGAACCCCCAGGGAGTTAGGTCGATCCAGATGGATCGATCTAAGTATGGGAACCCAGTCCTAGTTTTCACTTGCACGCACAAACAAAATGAGAGGAAATAATAGAATTTGTAGAACTGAGATGGTTTGATTATTTTGGCGGAAGGCTTGGATTAAAGGTTACAACACCGTAGCATGAGAGGAATGGAGACTACATGCCTATTTTTATGAACATGTCACGGTATACGCCATTGTCGCAACGTTCAGGGCAAGGGTTCACTGTGATCATCCTCGAGGTACAGGTATATGCACATGTACGTGTAGGTCATTAATGGGACTAGGTGGCATGAGCATCGCGTTCCAGGACAGTGTGATGACCTCATTTGAACTCAGTGTGATGACTGGGAAGGTATCTCGTTAATGATAACTGTTCACATTTATACATTTACAAGTAACTGCTGAAAATCGTGAAACTGTGAATCTCTATGTAAATGTCATTCTGGCGTTGGAGTGATGCTTCGAACTGTCATCGCTTCTTCTTTCTCCTTCTTGAATGATGTAAAGCATGTTTGATTGTATTTTGATGTTTAAGTTCAATTTTGAATTTGAGAGAGCAAATTCTACGTTTCTGTGTGCAGTTTGCTGAACGATATGTTGTAATTCAATAAAATTGTATTATATATGGGCCCACTACGATCAAGTAATAATAATAATATAAGGCACAACTTTAACTTGACAGTATGATAAGGCAGCGCGCACGCTTTCCGCCTTGTGGAGAACGGTTTTTGGTATACCCAAGGAGTCTGTTATAACTCCTTGGTATACCCTCGTATAGGGAACAACAACAGGTACAAACACTATCACGATCACCCCAAGTCCACCGAATAATGTCCGTGCACTGGAACTCCACGATATTTCGACGCGCTTACAATTTTAAATATTTTTCAAAGGTTTCAGTTTGACCAAATCCTAAAGGCGTCGGAAGCAGTGAATCCGTGTGATTCCGTGCAACCCTTCTTGTACCTCTACGACATCCACGGCCTCCACTGCATCTAAATTTTAAAGGGGACGTACGATTTTAAAATTGGTGCGGCTGTTTCTGACCGAGGCTTAATTTGGGCTTACCTAGAGAAGTGTAGGACATCGTAGAAGTCAAGAGCTTGTTGAATATGAGCGAATGTTCTTGTGAAGTTAGCTGACATCTCTAACACAGCGAGGCCTTCTTTGATTCACCTGTACGGTCTCAGTGGAGATAACGTAGTCCTCACAACGCATCGGGTCAACAATCAAAGCGACCAGTCCAAGCGAACTGATAAACTCGCCACATGCTAACCATGTAGGGGATACATAATGGGGTAAAATGCATTTTTTTGTCCAATTCAGATAGCCAGTTATCAGGAGCTGATATCGAAAATTTGTATTGATTTTACTGCTGATCGTTGGATATGTGGCAGGCAGAAAAGATGAACGTTCAGCATACATCATTTTATGATCTGACTGGAAGTCTTTGGCTCATGACAATATCTAGCATGCACCATGACTAATCACTGCATTCCTCTCTCCACATTACTTAATATCTACATGAATATCGATTAAGAAGTATTTTGGCATCCTTACTCTTGTTCAGACAACTTATCAAACCTGAAATGTAAACTTACGTCTTACAGTTGTACAGACGGCCTCAGTTTGATTGACCTTCGTTAATTGCTTTAGTCAGCAGATTAATATTTATCAATGCTTCTGTCATTACCACTGTAACATTATTCATTATTTCATTTTCATATTTATATAATCAACATTTTTTGTATTTAAGTCATTTCCGAGCTCTATGAAAGCAATAATTGCTATTAGAATTAAGAGTAATTTCTGCACTTTTAACCCTGATCCACTACTTTCCGGTAATCTCGACCCATCCTTTCAATCCTCAAGGGTCTCACCACAGCCTTGGACAAGTCAAGCTATAGCCGGAAAAAAGAAATGCACTTTAAAAGACCGTCGAAAATGAAGCCACGGTAATAGGTTTCATCATACTCAGATTTCTGAGCACGAAATGTTCTTCTTGAACAACGGGGATAATTATGGACTTTCGAAATGCGCATCTCTGAAACATATATCCACGAACGAGAGAATGCTCACTTCACCTTTTTACCATTTTAACAGGGTTAGTTGGTTAGTTATAATTTTTGTTTAATTTGTATATTTTATGATTCGACACATGGGCCGATCCAGGATTATTCCAAGGGGGGCGGTTTTTAGGAATGACAGACCACAGATGCGAACTCGCCTTGGCGGGGTATTATGGTATAATACAGGGCGAACGGTGTCATTTGGTACAGTTAAGTCACAGGTCCGTAGCCAGCAATTTCAAAAGGGGGGTTCTTTTTTTTTGAAAAAGTGGACCTTTTCCCACAAAAACTTCATGTACCTAGATCAAATTTTACCCAGAGTGGACCGTTTCCCAGCAAAAGGGGTGGTTCTTTCGAACCCCCCGAACCCCCCCTGGCTACGGGCCTGTAAGACCTATGATTCAAGTAGTCAAAATTCTAATTTCAAGAGGAGACCATTGGTGTGTTTTCCCCCCTGACAGCTCCCTAAATCCACCACTGCGATAAGTCACTGTGTCCTACAGCACAGCACTTGTTAACTACAATATAAAAACACGCACAATAAAATAACATGACAGCCCCAGCTCGCCGGAGGGACCGAGTATAATTATCCCGTTAGGCTGCGACAAGCAATACACAAAGGTGATCGAAATCACGGTACAGTCTGATTACTATTGACTCATTTATTAGATACCTTTGCAAGTGGAAATGGATTCATATTAGAATTGCCATATGTTAAATTGGTTGGACGGACACGAAATTCTATTCCACACAATCGATTTGGTAGACTGGCCATTGTCGACCTTTAAGGAATAATTTCCCCTATCTGATTCTCTTGCAAGCAACTTGCTGCCTTGCCTTGTTGGAATCTAATCCGTGAGTCGCAGTCCTAAAAAACTTGGTTCTCGTGCAAACATTACATGTGCATATGATGTTACATATAAGTATTACCTGCATTATTTACCCAGCATAAATGCATGTACGGGCTACAAATTCTGTTCTAAATATATACATTGATGCAACACATAAAGGCAATATATTTGGAATCATGTAAAAATTATTTGTGCCAAGGCCACAAGACGCATGGTCGTGCAATTCATGTGTGCGTAGAAAGGTTTAGTTTGTTAGGAACAATTATAGCACATCTTCAATGTGCTCTCTCTCTCTCTCTCTCTCTGTCTCTCTCTCTCTCTCTCTCTCTCTCTATATATATATATATATATATATATCATACTAAACGCAGTGAGGAAGTAGTCTTTCAAAGATCAGTGACACAGACTTCATAATGAGATTGAGTTGTAATGTCAGGGAAAAGTTCCGCAATAACAGTGTTATTGAAGCGCGGCTGATGCGGGCGCACAGCGGCCATACACAGAATGCAAATGCAGTAGGCGAAACACGATCCTTCGTCTATGTGACTCGGAGAAAATGACACGGGGCATCTGAGGTGGAGTAAGTGATTCAGCTCATCACATACAACGTAAACGAGCTACTGGACGAGCTCTTGATTTGACGCCAGCACGTACTTGTATGTTAGTGTATAGACTGTTTGGCTACAAGCGTTGCCATCTATCGAAGGTATCCTATGTGCGTGCGATATTGTTGTTTAATCAGCGTTCCTCCAAATGATAGATCACGCAAGCACTGGGAGATAGATTTGTTGCACCTTAATTAAAAGCACCGGTATCTGGCGTTAAGTAGGCACCTCCAGACAAGACTCGTGGCGTGGATTAATGACGGTTTGAGTCAGTGTAACAACATGCAGTGTTTATGCAGAAATATCTTAAGTGCCGGCGACACCAGGAAGCACTCGACCTCGGGAGAGTTTGAAGATTTGGACATGGACATAAAAACTGAAGGTGAGAACGCAGCACCTAAAAACTGCTACAGATTGGTGATTGTTGGCACCGCAAGAGCTGGAAAAACATCGATAGTTTCCAGATTTCTCAACGATAAGTTTGAGGAGAAATACACACCTACGATAGAAAATTTCCATCGGAAAGTGTATAGAATCCGAGGAGAAGCATACCGACTTGACATCCTTGATACGTCTGGGAACGACCCATTCCCGGCTATGCGAAGACTTTCTCTACTCTCTGGTAAGTGGAACAGAATAACATGTAAACTGTTAAAAATAATTTTTGCTGCTAGGCTGCCTATTATATTCATCGCTTAATGTTGATAATCGAATCGCATGATTCCAGCAAGGCTCGGAATAACAGCAGTCTACAGTTATTATTGACAAGGCAATAACTGCTTCGCAAGATAATTGTGATGCTGATATAATATAAACATTATTAGTTATCCCGTTATCTTTGTCCTTCTATTTATTCATTTACAAATTTTATATATAATATTTGAGTGCCTGATGTGGAATTCATCGATTTATAGTATTTATGGGAAAAAATCACGTCCGGCAAGTGTCATTTGAGTATCCATTCCATAAAAACCCAATAAGAAAATGTCTTTTATAGATTGGTGACTTTCAAAGAAATCTAAACAGCAAAAATACCAAAGAGCGTTGGTAATCTATCGATCATTCTAAGAATCCAGGCTTCTTTTTCCCCACTTTTTCTGCTTCTTATTTTCGCCAAACAACACTTTTGAGGCTGTGAAACAAACCCGGGAAAACAAATCCCTAGCGATCCAAGTTATCTCACTTTATAATGGATGAATAGAAAGCCTGGCAGTCTTTCATTTTAAAGGCAAGATATGTTTGGGCTAGCACGGAGTTTTAGATTAGTACCATACATGTACTGTTTGCGTGTACGGTTGAATATGCATTTTCTCTGTCAGAGGCCGGCTGGTTGATGACGTACATGTAGTTGTGCACTTTAAGCATTGAGCAGAAATGTGCACAATCACTGAAATATCTGTGACTATCTAGTGAAAAATTATATCCATGGCACTGGTAGAGGGAAGAAAATGCTTTAGGCTGACAGACATGTCTTGCCAGCGAAGCCCTTGTCAATTAACATTTATATCAACTATATTTTGGAAGAAAAACAGAATTGACAGATGCTCCACATCAATTAAGTCAAATCTCATTGCGTGTCCGTTAAAATTTATGTTCTTGGAAAACCTAAGTCGTTTACTTTTTGTACAAGCTAGTATAAGACTATATGGTGCCATTTCAGTTTTTGTCAACATATTATTTCATCAAAGCTGATGCAACTTCCAGAGCTCTGGTGGTAGGGAAATTTGATAAAAGTAGTGCCATTATTTAATAATTCAGTGGAAACATTTACATTGCTATTTTCCGAATAGACTGGTGATATCTACATGTGTCATACCAAAATGTGTATTTTACCTAAATAGTTACGTCTCAGATGTGTATTTTAGTGATGAATGCCCAATCACGTTAAGGCAGGCGAGTTTAACAAAGCATGTACTAACATCTGTTAATGTCTGATTATTGGCTTTATTTTGGTAATCAGGTGGTATGACTTGGGTGTGACTCTTTTCTTGATGATGCTTGATGAAGGAACTTTGGACAGGGGAAGCTCAGCAATCTGGTGTCCCCGTGGGGCTATAAAATTTAGTTATCACTAGAATAATTGATTCTTTCCATTAGCAAGATAACATTGCTCTCACTGTAACCTTTAAATGAATGCATGAGTATGTTGAATCAATTCAGCAAATTACATTGATGGAATATGTAATGACCGTATACCGCATAATCTTGGAAATACAATGAAAATGTTGCCATTAATGAAAAGCAGATAAATAAAATACTCTCAAATCACTCTTAAGAACAGACACATATCAAACGTCATTGATATGCGCCTCCATTGTTTCTCGAAAGCCGACAGACATTAGTCATTATCAACTGATTTGATTCATACGGTTCCAGAAGTAACAGTGAAAGAGATTTGTCCAGACGGGTAATATCAAAATTGATTCTTCTCTAGACTTTGCGGTATTCTATTTTATGCAGCTTAGGCTCCTAACAGAGGTAGTGAATACCATACTTTTTGGAGAGAAATAGTACGCTGTGGCTTGATTTTATTTTTAGAAACATATCGGGCAATATTTTGGTAGGCTCTTAATAAGCCGCCATTTATGAATGATTTTACATTCATTAGACTTAACTGGCACGCTATATTTGAACGCATTGCAACATACGTTGAATCTAGATCTGTCATCTGCTTATACAAACAAAAAGCGACCTTCACAATCAACCTCAAATAAGTAATCTGAATCCGCTTAAACTGTGATTTTAATCAATGTTTGGCTTTAAAACGTGATAGTTGATGACACAAAAATGTTCTTTCGTGTTTTTGTGGCTTATCTGTAGTTAAGCATTGGCAATAAGACTAGAGCCTTATTAAGGATTCTGGCTACCCATAGTAAAGCAGGCAACATATTTACTACGTCAAATTCATATTACTTTACGTGGTCAGTTACATTTTAGCTTAATTTTTAAACGACAGAGACAGTGATGTGTGAGAAAAAAACCAAGTGAGCATTTTGATTGATTGACATGACATGACTTTTGTTTTATTTGTCTAACATTACACTGGATTAGCTTCAAAAGACAAAACAGGAAGTCGTGCTGAAAAAAAAACTTAAGCGGAGAAATAGAGTAAAGAATCTGTCGGAAATCAATATTCATCCAGACAACGCAAACGTGTAGGTTTTTGAAGGTTTTGAAATAATGAAAACTGTGAAAATCACACTGATTTGAACGCAACAAAGCTTAAAGGAATAACAATTACAATAAAAACATCGTAAACAACTCATAGAAATATCATAAATTCCATATCATTTAACCACCAACACAGCGCTTATAACAATTATTCTGGAATCTGTGCTTGCCATCAGACCACGTAGACCTTCATAGATGGGCATACCTCCGTATATACAGTATATCTCTTAAGAGATTATTACTAAAAAACCAAAACCAAGGACTAACTTTGAATGTCCGAATGGATTCATTGACCATTGGTTATTTTGGAAAATCGTCGTTTACCCTACCAGGAAAATCCGTTTTTGGCAAAAAAAAGTTGTTATTCCTTTAAATACGGTTTTAACCTGCGTTAACGACTTTTCCGCCATCAATTTAGCCCATTTTCCTTTTGATTTAGTTCTGCCACAAGTTAATAAAGATGCAATATGCTGGTAAGACAGACAGGTACAACCAATGTTATCCATGTAAACCGTACAGTATGATAGCCTTTAAATAATTCCACGTCTTGTATCTTACAGGAGATATTTTCATAATCGTATTCAGCGTGGATAATATGGAATCATTTGAAGAGGCCAAGCGGCTTAGAGATCAGATTCAGGAAGTGAAGTCCTTCTGTCCACCCGGTTCCAAAAAATTCCGACACATCCCAATGGTCCTGGTCGGTAACAAACTAGATCGTGCCGACCACCATAGGGCAGTGAACTCAATGGAAGTGAACAGATACATTGAGTCACAATCTGGGTGTGCATACGTTGAAGCATCGGCCAAAAAGGACTGGAATATTGAAGACATCTTTCTCAAGCTTTTCATAATGGCTGATCTCCCGACAGAAATGAGTCCTTCGCTCCACAGGAAAGTGCACCCGTCTTACGTTGGGAAAACGACAGCGAAGTCCACAACAAGGTGCGGGCCAATCTCTTTAAGAAGACGCTTAAGCGACGCCTGTGGCACTGTTACCAGTGTTAGACGTCCAAGTATTAGAACCGATCTTTTGATATTGCAGACAAAATCACGCGTTCCGCCCGAAGTTACTAATACTTCGGATGCAGAAGCGACTGGTGTCAAATGTGTGATTCAATAGTATTTGTTATATTCAGACTTTTGATTTTTGAGTCACATATAAATGTATATTGTCCAGCAAGCTAAACGTCGCCTGTGCTGTCTTATTATTAAACACTTTTATTAATCAAAATACTGATTCTTCAGAAATATATACGTTATTCATTCATTCACTGAAATAGTATATCGCTTTTCTGACATCCTTATATCATATATGTTGTAATTTAATGACCATTCTAATTGAACATCGATGTGTTTTTCGACATAAGTAATTATTATAAAAATACTGGCGCCTGTTATCAATTTGAACATTGTTCGTTCAATGGTCTGAGCACATGATAGCGTGTAAGTAAGACAAGAGGTTTATGCAGACTGGGGTCCTATAGGTGTACTGCTTGTCATAGGACTGTTAATTGGAATCTGGATAGTTGGAAACAATACAGAACAACGTATTCTCTTTTTCCAGGCGCAATTTCAAGACCATGTATTTGTTGCAATGTAGGTTCAGGCATGATTGCCATGACATTCTTTGTGTCTTCGCTTTTCGATAAGGTCTTGTGTTTTAGTTTCCTTTTTTGAATTTTGATAATTTGAATTGTTTGATTTCATAGTTCCGTAATGTTCACTTTTAATATGAATATTGGTAAAGTGTATGGATTTTGCATATAGCTTTTTTGTTGCTTCTCGTTTTGCTTTCAAAGTATTACGAAAGTAGAGTTGAATAATTGCATTGGCTATACCCAAAATGCCAAAAACATTTCAACGTTTCAACTATCATTTAACTGATGTAAGATTTTCTTATTTATCATTTGATACCAGAAATTGCAAGCATCGCATTTAAAAAAACCAGTGAAGCAGCTGAGAAATAATGATGACTTTTTGGCACGGGGATAACTGGCTTTGTGGGTCTATCTCGGGATTATGTTATACAAAATATCGCCAAAGTAAGAATATTGGTGCTTTTGTGAAATAAAAAACGCAATATCCATCTGTTTCTTATGAAGCATTTATAAATATTTTTTATCTCAAGTAAATGCAGGTATGTAAGTATATCATGATAGAAATACATTCCCCCGATTCACGTTGACTGGCACATTGTATGACAAAAGGCAAGCCATCGAAGAAAAAAATCCAATCTAAATTGCAACTTCGAGCATTTCCTGAATCGAGCTAGCAGGAAATTCTAAACGTCGAACTGGGATGGAAAACACCAGCATCTACGCCAGACTTCAATGTGCTTGTAAAACAAAGGAGCATTATTTATTCAATATTGTTAGCGGCATTTGATATTTTCAATGCTATAAATTGCAGGCGACGGCAACTCGACTATGACCAGGTGGAGGGAAGAGTCCACGCAATTGTCGCCCTTTCCGTTTGGAAAACCCTCGGTCTGCCACTTAGCCGTAGGCCCTATACCGTGACTTTTATTTCAAACACATCTGTCTGACCCCCATCCCTGAGGCCTAATTTATGTAAAACATTCAGCTGTCTTAATGCAAAATAAGACTATAGGTTAGAGACTGAGTCCCAGCGACATTCCCTTAAAGTAATTTAAACAAGGTGCAGGTGCAGGCAATCGTCTAAAAGCTTCAGATTCTATGCTGCGTCTGTGCAATTAAATGGCACGAGGTAAAAGTTATCTAGGGTACAAGCTCCAAGCGTCCAGGCTCCTTGCTGACTGGGATTAAAAATCGATATTTAATGGTTGACATAGATTTGAATTTTTGGTACCATGCTGGGAACTTCCCAGATGACAGAACGTGAAACCACAATAATGTGTGGAAGAATCAACTGATTTTGAGTACATAGACATCAACAAATATGTAGAGAGACCCCAATTGGGATGCTGAGTCGATGACATTTACTTTCGTTCTCTGAAGGTTAATATTCCTTTAGCTCAACGAGCACTAATATGGTTATAATTAAAGATTCACATTGTGTAAAGACAAGACATAATACCATACAGGACACGGGTTGAAAAAAAACTGAAGTGAATAGATGAAATATGAAATTATTTTGATTTTTACAGGAACGAATTAAGCGGCAACGTGGCGTTTCACGTAATGTACGCGATTTAAGGGTACCGTTCTTGAAAAGTATTGTGCATACTTGGGAGCATGATTCTCATTTTTTCTAACGGACCATCTTTTCAGCTGTGTCTCATTTCTCGAACATTATTCCTATTGCATGTTGAATTATATTCGGGAATTTTTCCCTAAAAGCCATTTGTGTTAACATACCATTTTATGAACGGTAATGGGAAGGTGATATTGCCTCGTTTAATGCATCTTTAATAATTACTACAATTTAATAAAGCCTGGAACTAGTAGCTACTATGGCACCGTCCATATATTTGTTCACCAAATGCAAATTCAGCCTTTCAATAAATGTTTCAACACAAAAGAAAAAAAGATCACCGAAATTTGCTCATTGTCGTCGTTAAACAAATATATGAAGAAGACGGCAAGCGATTTGTCTTTCCACGAGGAATGCATCACCATTTATTGATTGTTACATGTACAAGGCAGTATGAAGAATCATTAGTCCAATCCTACTGTGTCACTGAATCACCTGGCACGTCAACCATACTACCGATGTTGAGACACGCACAGAGCTTTTACCTCCCAGGCAAGGGAAATATTTGCACACAGCCTCGGGAGAACCATTTAAACAGTGCGAAAAAGCCAACCCTACTTAAGCTTGTGTATGCATTTCCCAGGACCCTGGAGCTGCACGGCGGTGCCTAGTACCCCCCCTTGGGCTTGTAAGCAAAGAAGAGAGCAAGGTTAATTACATGTCCACAGAGAAAAGAAATGCGAAGAAAACTAACATGATGAAACTGAGTGTTACCTTGCGTGAGGAGGTGAACTCAAAATGAATTCTTTTCCTGTGTGTTCATATGATTTAACTTACGTGCCCAATAACCATGTACTGATTGTTACCCACTGGGCAATCATCCTGTGGATAAAGTAATGTTTACTAAACACTGGCTACTTATTTTTGTCTCTAATATTGCTTTCCAGTGGTGAAAAAAGGCTGCTATCATAATGATAACTGTCCAGTGGATAACAATTTTATCCAGAGGATAGTGTTATCCAGTTATCCATAGCATAGCGCTATCCAGTGTTGATGAACTTGGCCAACGATTAACGTCTTTTTCTCAAAAAAGATATAAATCACGCCCAAGAGAAAAGTAATTTTGATGAAATTGGATAGAACTTTAAAACCACGCGGTATTTTGTTGTCTTCATAAATCAATGTTGTAACCTTTAGATAATGATGTAACGTTCATGTTCTGTACATGCTTTTTAGATCCATTCATAAGACTTATACGATTTGACACAATTGAACAGATAGATGGGAAAGTAGGTGCAAAGGTTTGGTTGTCAAGTGCGCAGGGAACAAGGAGTTAAAATACATGTGAGTTCACCCGTTTGGCAATGAAAATACACCGTAAATATTCTATTGCCACATAGTTATTGTTTTATAATAGTCACAGATACATTTCGACGACTTGTGACGTCAGTCCAGACTGATGAAGATGTCAGTATTTAAAACATTGGAACGCATCTGTAAGTATTATAAGATATTTGTTTGCGACAAAAGAACATTCGTGACACGATGCCAGTTACCTGTCATGAAGCGAAATAGAAGGAACGTCCCTGTGATTACCACACTCTTTTAATTTGTTCAACTTTTTTGCAATAATGGTGGAGTTGTCTTCCACATCAACAAAGAACTATGTAAAAATATAAAATATTAATGCACATATCATCACGATTTAGGCTTTTGCATCCCCCGTACAAGTGCTGTAATTTAACCATTCATTTATAGGCAAAAATATATGTTATAATTGTAATGTTTGAAAGAAAAACAAACTGTATAATTATGTATTGAAAAAAAAATCATATCATCTCACGAACGTAATTCTATTATGTGAACCAATTCAACAAGATGAGCAATATTCAAGGCCCCTTTAGATTAATCAAGAAATACTTCTTTGAGTCACGCAAACGGCCCAGTTCGAAAGTTGTATTGTCCTGCATATTGTGGCCTGTTTGACTTCTTTCTCGATCTCAAGTTCATTACTTTTTGAGCAGTTTTTGAATACGTAACGTTCCTGTGGAATTCCCATCCGACCTGCTCTTTCAGTTTCTGCTGCATTTCATCGTCCGTTTGGTATGGGATTTCCTGCAGTGAATAGCAATGAATGTAAATTTACTGGTACGAGTAATCATACATTACCTGTTAAGCCCCCTTTACACTGGACGGCGTCCTTTCTGCGTCCAGCAGTACGGCCCCATTTGAGAGTTTAAAAATTATAATATTTTACGTGCCGACAACTGGCCGATCATTGAGCATTCATTCTGATACAAAATTAATGCTCGTGCCTCCTTATTAAGACCACAGCGATAGCAAATTTCATGGTCGCAGAGAGGACGCAGAAAGGACGCCGTCCAGTGTAAAGGGGGTATTAAGATTTATCTATAATTCACCCACTATTGATTCATTTACATATATTAAAAACTATATGGCATGTTGCTGTGTGCAGCACGCAGATGTGAGTGAGACTTGTCATTAGCGGCAGAAGGCCGTGCCTATGATGTACGTATGTACAATCGTGCAGCTTTGTTTTTCCAGTAACGTGTCATCTTATAACTATGAGGGCTTATTCCCAATGAAACTATCGTTCTACGTAGATCGATCCAACTCCGCGGAGACTCCCGCTGAATACATTTCATTTAACAAATTAACACGCCTCCTCTTGTTTGCAACGTACTCGTATAATCACCAGGTTTTCTGTATTCTACTCTGATTGCATTCAGCGAGAACCCCGTGGAGTTAGATCCATCTACGTAGAACGACAGGTTCAGTGGGAATGGGCCCTAAATTAAATCGACAGTTGAATTACTGAACTGCTAAGAAGTCATTTAAAACAGAAATATTGTACAAGGATTTCGCACGTAATCGTTCATAATCATTTATGAGAGGACGTGTTTAATTTTTAAAAAAACGTTATTTCTATTTCAGAAATGAATTAAATCATTTTCTACGTACTGTTTTTCTCAAATATCGCATCATTTTCTCGTCACAATGCTCCATGAAGGCTTTCTTTGAGATCAGAATGCAGTCGGCGCCATTGGAGACGAGACTAAGACTTGGTTGTTCGGGGAAAACAAGACTGCTCACGCCCTGGTAAAAGTATTTAGGATTAAATCAGTTCACAAACCCTTACACTCTAATCATCTTTCGAATGTGCCCGTAGAGAACGATTTTTAATGTTTTCACCATTCAATATTTTCCTTAAAAATGTCACCAAAAACGTTATGAAATAAGAAAAGGAAACGTTTTAACGTCGGCATGCAGACACTGACTGCACCCCCCCCCCCTTCTGCGTAGGTTCTTAGAAACCCTACCCGCTGTTCAATGTTTAGATCACTTAACACGGGGTTTACAGCGGAATTACGTAGAGCAACAATCAAAGCGTCTGTAGCCTGGCTTAAAAAGCTTCCTGAAGTGAAGACGGTTTTCACAAAAACCTATGCCAGTACATGGCTTATGAGTACTTAGAAGTCTCATTTACACAACAGGTAAATTACATTTTAAGACCAGCATCAAAGCGAGATGAGCTGTCCCCGCAATTTCTATAGTTTACTGGTATTTTATTGCCTGTGGTTTCATCAACTGGCAATAACAATTTGATCAACACACACACAAACCACTGGTTATTGTGAAAATCATGTGTGGACGACCGAATATGTGTTCTAAACAAATTAGTCTTCATAATAATCCGTGTGTCTGTTTAGTTCGAGCGCGTGCATATTCGGTCGTCCACACATTACACGAAAGATCACACACACGTTCGTTTAAAACGATGCATTTCTCTGACGCTTCCTGAAAGAGCATTGCACTCTGTACACTTACAAAATACTGCCCCCTTTCGAGTACTTGCACCTCTATGAACTCAGGGTACAGATCTGCCTCCGTGAGCTCGTGGATCTTTACCGGTTTGTTGTCAAGGTCGTCTGCTATAGTCTTTCGTCCACTCACCAGCACGAAATTATCCTCTGCAACAAGTCATATTGATAAACGGTTTCCTTCTGGTTAAATTGATATTTCTGGTTGTAGCCACAGTATTTACATGTGCGAATGACACAGGCACACATACACACACAATCACACACACACACACACACACACATAATGGATTTATTTTATTTATTCCATATTCTTATGCTTATATATCTTTGAACATTTATTTCCTCTTAACATTCCCTTCAATATCTTTGTACCTACCTTTGTATTTAACATGCTCCTCTACATTTTTCTTACGCTTCCTTGATTGAGAAAAATATACACCCTAGAAATACAATACATACAATATTGAATAGTAAACCGAATAGGTTGCAAATGTTGAACACCCCATTTACTGGATAGCTTCATATTCGACGATTTTGCGTCATTCTCTTCCTTTTTTTAAAATCTATCTATTAATCTTAAATTGAAAATATTTAGTAAGTTAAGTTTAAACAGACTTCGTGACAAGACAACATGACATGACAATCGATCGACAGTGCCATACAATATGACAAGAATTATCAGATCAGAAGAAAATCAAGAACATCCTCCTTCCATTTAACTCAATATTCTAAATCCATAGACATGACACAAAGAAAAAATACTTCACACCTTTACTGTCATCCACTTTACCTACCTTTGTTGTTGGACCTATTTCCGGCAGTTTCACAATTTCGTTTTCCGTAATTTGAACTTGAGCTTCTGGCGAGCCAGCGCTGCTCGGTGCGGATGGCGTTCTTGTCTGGTTAATAATTGGTAGACGTAGAACATTGTCGTTGGCTTCCTCCAGCTCTGTCTCCTCGTCAATATTATGCTTTTCATACTCTTGAATCACAGTGTCGTAATCTATAAGACCCATTCGGTCGTCCTTGTTGTACAATCCGGGTAAAGTCTTCCCCTAAAAAATGTGAATGCCATACTGTATGTGAAAAAGTGCGCTCTTTTCGTGAAAAAAAAAACGAATTAACTGAAGCTTTAGAAAATCACAATGTTAAATTTAATTTGTGCGATTTGCAAAAGATGCTAAGATCGGTTTGCGATTTATTATCATCATTATTGGTGCAAGGACAGAACTATTGTATAAATATTTAGAAACTTTCAAATTCTCTACAAATAAGTGTTAAAACACATTCATGTTGATGTACGAGGGATTTATGGCTAATAAAATTAAGATATGTGTAACAGATTAAAAATTGACCGAAGATCCATATATGAAACAATGTGGAAATTGTACGGATAGTCTCATAAGTTGTTTAAACAAAAGTGGGATAAAGTAGTAATAACTGAGGGGTTTATAAAACATTAAGCACACAATACATGAATACATGCAATTTTTTGTTGGTAATACAGGACGCGTCAAAAAGTGGACTATTCCATCTTATCCCTTTGGGCCTAATCCGGAACAACTGGTAACAGGGACTTAGTGTCATATTAAGTTCAGGCAGCGGGGTTTAATTTACTCGGATTGTACGAAATCAATGCCACAAGAACTTTATTACACTCTTCCTAGAAACCCAGTTGTCATAGTTCTTAGGTGTATCACATT